TGTTAAAGTGAGAGGTGTGGCTTTAAAGTCTGGGAAGTGTGGATTCCATCCCTCTGCCTCAGGGGATGGGCCCTATGACCCCTGGAAAAGTTGCCCCACCCCAGACCCTTGTGGGGTGGCAGTCCAGGGAATTCTGACTGGGTTTGAACCCCTGGAGTTTCTCCCTTGCTCTGTTCCTATTAGACCCCAACCTTAAACTCCACCCTGATTCTGTCCCACAAAACCTATCTCCCTGCCTCTGGAGCTCTCTGTCTCTGGATCTAAGCCGAGTTTGTGTGCTGAGTAAATGGTTTCCTGAGCAGAAGCCCATCTCGTTTGAGTCCCATGTAAGCCGCTGGTAATTGTAGCTTCCCTGGACATGATCCTGCTGCTCTGGAACACAACAAGTAGCTACTTAAATACTGGTGTTCAATAATAAAATGACCTGATAACATTCAACTCTTTGAGACATAGATATTTATAGAAAAAGTAGAAAAGTATAGAAAAGACATAGAAAAAGTGTCACTAAATTACTTTACAGAAACATTCACGAGGCTTTGCAGCACTTCCAGGAAAATACATAAAATTCCTCCTCTCTTTATGCAATCATTGTTTGCTCTTTTTCAACCTGACAGATGGTATGAAAGTTTTGCACTTGACATTGATAATTGTCTTTCCCACAGGCACATGATGATGTACTCATTGCATCACCTCCTGGCTTGAAATACTTTTTAAGAGGTTTTTAATGTTCACAAATGAAATCCTGGGAAAGATGAGAGCAGGAATTGGTATTTCCACTTTTGCTCCTGGTTATGTGCTGTGGAAGTGATGTGATCTGTTTGAAACACAGTTGTTAACACAGTCACTGTATAAATACATACATAAATTTGTCCAAGCTGTTGTCCATCCACACTGACTGGACTGTGGCCATCTAAGAAACCACCTGAAAAATAAAGAGACATTCTGTTAGTGAAAGGTATTCCTCACAATTTCAGGTGGCACTTGCAGGGAAATTGTCCATCAGCTCTGCCATGTTAGATTGAAAAGAATCACTAATTTGCCCCATATTTTGAAGTATTTTGTATTTTATTTCACATTATAATTTTTTTTAACAGCCAAATAAGATTAAGATTTAATTTTTCAAGCAAGGGAAAATAGGCCAAGCAATGTATAAAGCACATCTTGGCACTGTTAATGAAGACAGAAGGGAAATGGGTCAAGGAACCTCTTTACCAAAATAAACTTCATTACACTTTAATGTTGGAGAGAAGGAACATTTCATAAATGATTATTAGTCCAATAACTTGCTCCATCTCAAGTGAGGTATACATTTCTCCCGTTTCACATCTGGGAAGAGAAACAACCCAAAATATCAGTGCTTTCTCACTAGCTTTTTTTTCAGTCATTTCAAATTCCTGCAGTCAGAGGAATTGTTCAGGACACATCCCCTGTGGTTCACTACTAATATATAGACAGGTTTTTTTTGTATTTTTTTTAATGAAGCTATACTGTCAGTCTGCAAATATATGAGCAGGGTCATAGAATATTGCAACAGCCCAGAAAGCTGCACGACACAAACCCAGGACCCATTTCCTCCTCAGAAACAAGGCATTGAGTTGTAGCAAAGCTGAGAAGCTGCAGAGAAATGACATTTCCATCATGCACTCCTAACATTTCATTTGCCTTGGAATGAATTTCCCCTGCTCATCTTATTAAAGACAGATTATTTTTGCTTTGCTCATTACACAGACCTGTCTAAAGGACTGTGTCCAAGTATGATAAATAAGTGAAAGCTCCAGTGGTGTCATTTCCCAGCAGAGCTAATGAGTTGCACACTCCTGTGGCTGCTTTCAGCTGCTGTGTCTCATGAACCATGCTGCTAATTTCACATCTCAGTTACTGCAAAAATGCTAAATAAAGGGGATTTTTTTTCATTTTATCTCTAAAAATATGAATTTATTCACATAGCAAAAATGATAAACCCAAACATTTGAAAAAAATGATGGCTTCAAGCCAGCATCACCCACACAACTTTCATTTAAGTCTTGCTTAACTGAGGAAGTACATCCAGCAGAAATATTAATTTAAGTTTTTCCTAACTTTCATGACCAGCCTCATCCTGTAGTTGATTTAGTTTTACTGAGTAATACAGGATTTAGCTTTAATTCTTGAAATAATAGGAAACAGAAAGAAGGCCTACTAAAAAAAATAAATATAAAATGAAATATTTGTGTGGTTCAGATATTTCTATTCTTCCAGGAATTTTTGGTTAACAATAGCAGCAAAAAAATCATCAAGTAGGGGAAAAATCCAGAAAGATTCCTTTGGAAAAGGTATATTTAATGCAGCTGTAACACAGGCTGAATATGAATAAAACACTGCACAGCTATTAAAATAAAATAAATATATGCTAAAATACCATACCTGTTTTTATGAAACTGAATGAAAAACAGTCATTAAGGCCAACTGGAAAAAGATTGTTAAGTAGAATTCATTGATTAAGTCAATAAAAGTCTGAAGAAGGATACAGATAAAACATTTAAAGTTCTTTATTTTGTTTTCCTGTCCTTTTAATCTTGCATTTCTTTATTTCAACCAAAAAAAAAATACAAAAAATACTTTTGTAGTGGTTTAGATTTGCTAATTTGAGTTTTTTGGCTAATGCACTACATAGTGTGGTGGATTTTAGTGCTGGCTAAAAATTACTAGTGTACTTACTTATTTTTTGCTGTGAGATATGGATTAGGAGAAGGGTAAAATAGGCTTAAACTTTAAAAGGTATAAAGAAACTTTACTGAGAGAACTAAAGAATAAGAATTAGAATAAAACTTTTAAAACACTTTTTTCTCTTTGCTTAACTTTTTTTTTCAGCTGATGACAGAGAGACAAAATTTGGGATGTTAAATCAATTACCAATTATATAATAGTCTTTTGCCAGTTTTTATAGTGAGAGGAGTTTTTTCTTGCCATGTTATGGGGATTTCTTTGTAAGAAACAGTTCTCTCATGGTTATTTTTACAAACAGTAGTTGCTTGGAAAAAGTTCTACAATTGTAAAATTTTTCTTATTTTTATAGCCTTCCTACAACTATGTTTATGGGCTATGAAATTATGGAGTATTATATAAAGGATGAGTTGTTTAAAGGTAAAGGTTTTTGGGTTTTTTTTTTTTGTTTCTGTGATTATTTGGGAACAGGGAGAGAACTTTTTCTCTCCCTGGGGGCAAAAGGTTTTCACTTTCTTTTTTTGTTTAAGTTTTTTATGGGATCACAGCTACTTTAACATTTGCTTGGCTTTATTAATGGATGCTTCTGTTCACAGTCACAGTTTGAATACTTTATTTCTTTATACTCTCATGAATTAAAGGGGATATTTTAGTGTATTATTGTGTGGAACTCACAGAGGCGGATCTAACTTCTAAATGGCTTAACAAGTTGTCAATTCTCAAAAGTAACCAGCTATTGGTCTTTCCCAGGCACAGAGGAAGCTCCCAGCACATTTTCTCAGAGAAATCACTTCTGTGGGTGGTCTCTTCTTCCCCAAATGTCAATCAATGCAAAACCAACACAGTAGAATTCATTGTTAAGTCAACAAAAATCTGCAGAAAAATACAGATAAAACATTTAAAGTTTTTTATTTTGTTTTTCTATCCTTTTAATCTTGCATTTCTTTATTTTAACAAAAAAATACAAAAAATACAAAAAATATTTGGAAAAGAACCTGTTGGTAAAAAGTTTCTATCTAGAAGAGCTTGAGAAGTTATTTATTGCATGACAACTCATTCTCGTGCACTGCCACATGCGGACCTCGTGTCTTCTCAATATGTATTAAAATTCTACAAATCCTAATTTCTAAACCAGGAATAGAAGTATCAGTGAAGAACAGCTCTGCAAATTCCTCTACTTCCACTAGAGGATGTTTCTGTGGTACCAAGGCACTGGTCACCTTCTAAGGGGTCCCACAGCTCAGAGGTGGCGCAGGGGATGATTGTGAGTGGGTACTTACCTATCAAAAAAAATAAAAATAAAAGAATCATTGATAAAGATGCACATCCTGAAATTACAGCCCTCCAGAAAGAGATCATATTTGACTATTCCCACAAAATAATTCAAGATTCTCCTAAAATAGAAAACAGAAGCAAAGACAGTATTTAGTTTAATTTACAGCTGAGCATTAGCTTGGCCAGGCTTTACAGACACATTACAATCCCCTGGAAATGCTGGAAATGCACCAAGGCCAGAACACAATGGAATATCCCACAGGTGCTTATCAAAGTGTAACTGCAGGATACAATTCAAATACTGGGAAGGCCATGTGTAGCAAAGGAGTCTTCTGGGCTGGAAACTGAGACACACAACAGAGAGGACCAGGAGTAACTGGGCAGTACTTAGTGATGGGATGAGGGGGCTGGGGCCCCCTGCCTGTGGCCAGAGGCACTGCCAGTTCCTGAAGATGTTCCATGGAGCAGCCCAGGACTTGGCCCGGGCAAGGACAAATGGGGCCCTCTTCAGGCAGGGCAGAAGTGCCCTGGACAGGAACTCCTGAGGCCACCTGGTGTCAGCTGGACACACAGGTCCTGGGCCAGGTCTCAAAGCTGTCAGCACTGTCCAGGGCTCAAGGGGTTTGGGAATTGTCCACCAAGGCCTGTGCAGTACCTCCCTGTCTCCACATCTGGGTGCTGGAATCGCTGTCTCCCTGTCTTTCTGCACATCTAGGCGCTGGATTGTCTCCCTGTCTGCACACCTGGCTATTGGATTCATTGCTCTTTAGTGACTCTAGAACTAAATTTATTACAGCACCACCACACCAATTCAAGTCAAATAAGAAGGGGTCACAGACTCCACTCACGACCTCCAGCACCTGATCTTCAGTTCGTTGCCCCTCTGAAGTGAGCAGAAATCCCACTGCCTCAGCTGGGCCAAGATACCATTGCAAGGAATTTCCTTAATTTCAGATATGAAGAGTTGTATATGATATAATTTCAGATATGAAACTGTTGGATTACACAAAATGAGAAACAAGGAGTTTTAAATGATTTATTTGATTTTTCCACATGATCACAGTTATAGTTTTACATCAATAGGGTCTGTTACTACTTACAAACAGAATGCATATTAAAATGAAAGCACTCCTTTCTTCCCCAGTTACAAAAGGTCTCAAGCCTCCCCAGAACAGAAGCTTCTTGTAAGCATAATGATTTTTGAAGTCTTTAACAGTCTGCATTCAAGACCTAATTCTAACAGTTTAATACAACTCAAAGCTGATTTAAGTTCCTAGCAGGAGATAGGTAACCTCAAAGTGACTGCAGACTTACAGTAATGCTAATTTACACACTATGTACAATTTAGAGAATTCTCTAGTCCCCTTACTGGTCCCATTTTCACCACCCACTTTTCTCTTTTTCAAATTGAATCTTGCTATTGGTTCCACTTTTCTTTGAAATATATACACAAGAATCCATTTTGCAGGCAAGAAGTGGTATTTTACAAGGGAACAGCAAAATGCATGCTTAACTGCAGAAAACACATACAGCTTCATATGGAACAGCAAGTCAACATCTAGAGATTCAGTGTTTAAATATCTGCTGACTGTCTTTCAGCTCATTTTATCAAGAAACAAGAGGCTTCTGCTGCATGCAGTACATGATGGGAAAATCATTCTACACTGTATGTTAGACTTTTTTTTTTTTAGCAATACAAGACGCACATTATATTAGGATGAACTTAGATTTTTTGTTTTTTACATTGTCTTATATTTCATTCTTAACTTAAAAAAATAAAAACCCCAAATATATATTTGATTGTTGTCCCAGAAAAGATGGGGCTTTTTTGTTGCCACACCGTCATTCTTTACATTTCCCTTTCATTTGTTCAAATCAGCATTACTGCTTTGCCACATTGTTTATGGGAAGAGAGAACCACGGTCACTCTATGCAGTTCTGTACCACTTTGTAATTGGCAATGGCATCTGAGAAAAAACCCTCTCAATTCTACTCCTGCCTGCAGGCTGAAGAATTCATTTTAATTCATTTTCTTAACCCCATGCGTTAAAAGCTGGAATTCTCCTATTCTTGGCATGACTCATACCACTCTAAGCAATTGTTAATCAAGGATGGAATCAGAGGGGCAGCAAAGGTCTGGAGACTTGTGCTGACACCAAGACTGTTTCGTTGCAGTAGACAGAAACATGCAGTCTAAGAAACAGAACAAAACTAGGGGAAAAAAAAAAGTCATGTCCACTGTTTCTCCTCCTTGGCTTGAAAGAACAGTTTCCAAATCCTGTGCTCTCTGTGACCAGTTTTAGTTTCTAACCAGCTTCCCAATGATCTGTGATTTCACATTCCCTGCATGCCCATGACAGGCACAGCTTCCTCCCCAATGTCCATGGAACCACATGGAAATGTTTCTGTGCATGCACGTTTGTGACATCTCCTCAACACTTTGGCTCACAAATGCATTGATTGCACATGGAAAATCAGTGGTCAGGCAATAAACTGTGGCTTACTGTTTAAGTACAGAATATTTATATGTAACTCTAATTTAAATGAATGAAAGGGTTTTTTAAACATAAAGCAAATGCAGATCTGGGAGATTTAACATCTTCAGTGTTCAGTGACACAGTGAGTCAGATTTTCCTCTCCACTGCTACTGCATATTCTGCCTTTATTCCATATACAGAATTTTGCTTCCATTATGCCTCTGCATCTGAAACAAGTACAGACTCTGTCACCCAGTGAAGAGGAGCTTTCTCACCTCTTTTAATGAAAAGATGCAGTTTCTGAGAGATGTCTGCACCTAAGTGGTTCTTTATCTTTTCTGGAACAACCTATAAATTACAGTTAGACTCTACTATTGGTACAGATGTATGAAGAAAAGTCTACATATTGAAATATGTTATCACTTCAACTAATATCAACAGTAACACTGATATATTTTGCAATTATACAGTATGTAGAGTGTAGCCTCACACTAATAACATTAGATGACATGCAGACAGTTCTACTTTCCCTTATAAGAACAGTATATATTTTTTAAACTGTGAGGAACAGAGCCTCAGGGGACCCAGGTGAGCCCTCTTAAGGTAAGCCGCAGAATTTAGAATAGAATGAGTGATACAGAAAAATAATAATCACTTGTTTTCTTTTCATGGAGACCATTCCGAGGAGAAGGAGCAGAAGGGGAAAACATATTGCACATGTGTGAAACAAACATGAACTGCTGGAAACAAGGCTAAACTCTAGATTGCTGCATTTGCTCTCTGTGGAGGTGAACAAAGTGCTCAGTTTGCCGTTTTGCTGGTATTGTGGTATCCATGGTATGAAAGGGAAAAAATGACTGAACCTCTCTCATCCTCCTCACAATAGAGATGCCACAAGCAAGCCAACATGACAAGTCACTCTGTTGCTCCCATGTCCTCCTAATTTGGGACGCTTTTATTACTGTTACATAGAAACCCGACTGGTTGGAGCTGTGATTACTTTTACCCATCTCTTACTGGAACTTTTTGCTCATCCTCTTCAAGGTTTGCTTTTACGCTGGTACAGTTTTGCAGTTGTGATTCCTTTGTCTCTACTGTTTAGGTGTTAAGTCCTTGCAGTGGCTCAAAGTGCTGAAACTACAAAGTAGGTGCCATGGATAACTTTGTACAGGACTTAGGGATACAAATTGTAGAGAGATTTGCAAATGGATTGGTTACAACACATAAGCAACAACAGCACAGCCTATTTTTATGTGATGTCTTGCCACTAACTGGACTATGGAAGTGAGGGTTTGAGCATGAACTCAGCCTGCTGAGTGCTGGGTGCTTCAAACTAACAAATGTGATGAGTAAAAATGGTAAAGTCACTTCGTTGCTAGCACATGGCTACATGGAATTACATATTTTTTATATATATATATATATATATATATATATATATATATATATATATATACCCTATACTAAATTCCTAAACAAACCTTTAAGTTTTAAAGCACTTCCACTGGAAACACTCTGGACTAGAATTCAGCTTCACTGGGTGTAAAAATGAGAAATTATGGTAAACAGGAACCAAGGTAGCTGAGAAGGATGGAGGTTTGCCACGTTCATGTTTGAGATGAATGTTTTTGCACTGTCTACATGCACCTGGCAGAACTCTTCCCGTGTGCTTGTTCAATCCATATGCTTACAAAAAAACGTGGATCATGTAAATTCACAGTTATCACAGCCTTTAAAGTGTCTAAGAACTTGTGTGACCAATGCTTGGAGGTGCCCCCTGGTAAGTGGGTACCCTCCATTGCTATGGAATAACTTGTGTGACCAATGCTTGGAGGTGCCCCCTGGTAAGTGGGCACCCTCCATTGCTATGGAATAATTACTGCATCTTAATGAGTTTGCTTACCTGAAATAGCAGAGCAGCTCTAATACTGATTATGTATGATATCATCGTGTTAATAAAATAAGGATTTATACAAAGCAGTACTGGACTACAACATTTAAATGCTATGTTACTTGGCACATTTAGTAATGATAGCTTAGAAATCTTAACAAGTCCAGGGGACTTGTGATGAAAATATTGAAATGTTTGAAATTAGTTTCTAACCTTTAATGTTTTTGGTCTACTCTTTCATATGCTATTCATCTATTATGCTGCCCTATCAAGTAAGTGGAATTCCTTGTAAAGTCTATATTGCTAGTTTGTGGACTGAAAAAATTTCTTTCCAAGCACTATGTTAACTATACAGTATATATATATTTATATTTATATGTATACATTTATATTATATAAAGTTTACTTACGTACTTTCATCAACCATATCAGGTCTACTTATTTTTTTTGCCCATTGAGAATAAAAGAGCAAGAATGCAACACTTGGTTCTGTCTCATTTTTTTCCCTGTTTTTTTTTCCATAGGCTATCTTCTCATTATGTGTGTAAAATTGTCCAGGGGTTTGATGTAAAAGGTAGCTTTCCTCAGATTCAGCAAGCAGCATGTTTTCAAGGCAAATTTGTAAATAAGAACTAATTGGATGGTGGTGAACATCTATCGAGTAGATAAGTAAAACCAGTATGGCCTGGGCTAACTGGAATTATTTAGTAACAACAAGCCCTTAAGCTTGGAACGGCCTAGGTAAAAACTGACGGTGTGATTTGTTGCTTCCTGCAAGTGCCTCTGCAGCTGTGTTTAAAATGAGAGTCATAAGAAGGGTCTTTAGCCTAGACAATGGTGCTGATGCCGCTGTGTTTGGGCTTGGTGCTGGAGGCGGCGGGTGGCGGCGGCCCGTGGTGGTGCGGGGCGTGGTGCGGCCCGTGGCCATGGGGCAGGTAGGGGCCGTGGCTGTGGCCGTGGCCGTGCTGGTGGTACGGGTGTGGGTGCGGGTGCGGGGGCGGATGGAAGTGGTGGTGGTGGTGGTAGGGCGGCGGGTTCTGGTGGCAGTACTGTGCGTGGTGCGGGTGCGGGGCCGCGCCCTCCGCCTGCAGCGGGGCCGTGTGGCTCTGGGACAGGGCTTTGCCCCTCTTGCTACCAAAGAGGGAGCCTAGGAGTGAGGAGGAGTTGGGCATAGTCTGGTGAGGGCGAGATGGACACTCTCGGGTTGATGTAGCTCTTCGGCGCATGTGAGGACTGCTAATGATGGACCCCTAAAAAGAAATTAATAGAAAATAAAAATTAAAAAAAAAGTATTGAAATGTTCAGAAAAAAAAAATTTAAAAAAGTTCACACTGACCCACAAACTGCTCCTTTAGGGTTCACTTGGGTGGATTATGTTAAAGAGTTCTAGAGAAAATTTTCTCTCCACCTTCCCTAAGTTGCCTATGGGGCACTCATGCCCTTTTTAGGGGATGTTAAGCATTGAGTGATTGTCTCTCAGTACTTTGACATCAAAAGTTATGACTTTAAATTTTAAAAAAAGTCACGGAAGAGTAACATGGTATAAGACCTATGAGTGTGTTTTTAAAGGAAAAATACATTTTAAAATACTGCAAAAAATACCATACTTGCTTTTTTTACTACACACACACACACACACACACAGAGACACACAAAATAAAGCTACATTAATTTCGACCTAAACCGTTAAAAGATATAGCAGCAAATATTACACTTACAGTTCAGACTTTTAAAATGGTATTTAAATCTTTATTTATAGTAGTTTTACACTACTATACATGACAGTGCTGCTTCTCAGGCCTACCTCTAACTTTTGTGTTAAATTGAACCATACTGTTTTTGCCACTAAGATTTCTATGTGCTTGTATTATTCTGACCTATGGTCCAACATACTATATTATTTAGCCTGGAATTTAGTTGCTGGAAGTTTGGGGTTTGTATCTTTAAAGTGTTACGGGACACGACAGTACTTAAGCAAAGTGTGCTAGATTTAAACTGCAATCTACCTAAAGCAAACACAAAAAAAAAAACCCAAAAAAACCAAAAAACAAACAAAAAAAACCCCTGCAAGCTGAATTCAGAGACATGAACAGTATATATAAATGGTTTGAAGATGAATGAAATCTCATGAAATCCACATTGTATTCACCTATCTGAATACTTTTTTTATCCTCCCATGCCCTATCTGTGCAATTCCATGGTGTCATGACTGCGTACATTTAGCAATTGAACTCGAAAATAAGCAATGGGAATGGTTGAGCATGACAGTCAATAGTTGTAGCTAAATACCAAACAGCAAGAACAGTGTACTTGGTAACAAAGAGCAAGTGGGCTTTTAAGCTAGGACCAGACTGAAATGGTGGCAAAAGGACACATCATATCCATTTAACCATGCTTGCAGGAACAAAGGGAACAAAGTTAGCTCAAACCAAAAATGGCATTGCTCTAAAACAAGCTGTCAGTGCTTTCTAAGCTGGAAGAATACAGAGTGAGTAGCCTAGGCATGCATTTTATTCGTGGCAGGCAGGTTTTATATATATATATATATATATATGTTAGAAGAAAAAAAGAGCAAAAAAATATGTATGTATATAAAAGAAAGGTTTGAAATGCACATCATCACATCCAGCTAGACATCAGGAACTTCCTACTTACTTCCATATTGCTGTCTAGCGATCCTGCACTGCTGCGTCGCCC